ACAAATGGTACCGGTACCGCTACTCCCTGGACCTCACCTGGGGTGCAAGCTGACCCGAATCTCGAGGCGAGTCCAGCTGTGGCGACGAGCGCCTCCCAGGAGGCCGAACAAATTGAAAACGAGGAAAGGGTAGCGGCATACCCGAATACCTTTCTCTCCTCTGAGTTTCGTGGTCCCTTACTCCCCGTACCATTAGGTCGAGCATGTCCCCCTACGGGCGGATTTTGGAAGAGAGCGAAAAAGAGTCCACGCAAAATCACCACACATGGTTTAAAACATCGCCCCTGGACTATTTTCTGACTGCTTTTTTATAGAAAACTCCTCCAGGAGGGACACGCCCGACCTAACCCTACCATGCAGCAGGACACAGGCAACCGCCAACCCACACGCCGAGCATTGCGGAGAGGCCACGCGCTGCACGCGCAGCCGCGGCGGGCCCGGCGCGCACGAGGGCCGAACGCTGGAGAGACGCGCGGCCGCCAGCGTGCGCCTCCGGCCCTCGCCCGGGCCGGCCCCGCCATGTGTCAGGGGGAAGGGTCAGGGGGGGGGCCCTCCTTCTCCCCCTCCTCCTCCTCCCCCTCTCCCCCTCCTCCCTCCTCTCCTCCTCCCTCCTCCTCCTCCTCCCCTCCTCCTCCTCCGCCTCCTCCTCCTCCTCCTCCTCCTCCTGCTCCTCCTCCTCCTCCCTCCTCCTCCTCCTCCTCCTCCTCCTCCTCCTCCTCCTCCTCCTCCTCGCCTGCTCCTCCTCTCCTCCTCCTCCTCCTCCTCCCTCCTCCTCCTCCTCCTCCTCCTCCTCCTCCTCCTCCTCCTCCTCCTCCTCCTCCTCCTCCTCCTCCTCCCTCCTCCTCCTCCTCCTCCTCCTCCTCCCCTCCTCCTCCTCCTCCCCCTCCTCCCCCTCCTCCCCCCTCCTCCTGCTCCTCCTGCCCTCCTCCTCCTCCCCTCCTCCTCCTCTCCTCCTCCGCCTCACTCCTCCTCCTCCTCCTCCTCCTCCTCCTCCTCCTCCTCCCCCCCCCTTCCCGCCCCCTGGACCTGGGAGAATGTTGTCCAGGCCCCGCCCCGAGCCCGGCTTGGCCCGTGGGCCTCCCCCGGCGGGGGCGCGCCCCCGGCGGGGGGGGAGGCTGGCCTGCAGGGGGGGAGCGCGTCCACCCGGAATCGGCGGTGCATCGGCGACAGATGGGCGGTCGGCCCTCGCCCAGGCTGGCCCCGCCATGTGTGAGGGGCAGGGACCCTGACCTTACTCGAGGGCTAAAAACATATCCACGAGGGCTAAAGACATTCCTGTCGAGGTTTGAGACAGTCCAGATAGGTCTATAGGTCTGGAGGGCTATGTTTTGCACTCTGGAAGGTCACAAGGGGGGAACTGGCACGGGGGGGACGCGTCCACCTGGAATCGGCGGTACATCGACGGCAGATCGGCTGTCGGCCCTCGCCTAGGCTGGCCCCGCCATGTGCCTACAACTGGTGCCCGCCTCGGGGGCGTCCAAGAGAGGGGCGTGGGGGGGGGGGCGCAAATCACGGCCAGCGGCATGTGCGCGGGGACGAATTGATTCGCGGGCCCAACGGGCCAAAAGCGTACCAACATCTAGGGTAACAGCTTTAAGAAGCCTTCTGAGTCGCGCGCGCGTGGCCTACCCCTGGGGGTTCCCGGGCGGAAAGCACTCGCAAGGGTCCTCGGGCGGTCCCCGTCACGGATGCCAGAACTCCTGGGGGCTGCCTGCAGGGCCTTCAATCGGCTTCACGCAAGAGTGACCCCAGGCAAGAGTGACCTTTGCTGCGCGGACTGAGGGGGCGCAAAGTGGCCAAATCCAAGCGCGCGAGCAGCCGCGAAAGCATCGCGCTCAGCAATCGGGGGGTCCGTCCCCGATGAGCCCGCACCAATGGTCACTCCGGCGAAGGGTCACTCTTACGCGTAGTCCATTCAAGAGCGTCTCAAGAAGTCCCCAAGGTGGTCTAAGAGGGCCCAGAGTCACCAGAAGGCGTTACAAGATCTCTTGGGCTTAAGCCCAAGATAGCCTCCGGGCGGCGTCAATCGCCTCCAGGGCGCCGAAGACTCCTCCAATACCAATCCGAATAAGCCCCCTAGAAGCAAAATTCAACGATTTCCATTGGCTTTCGCAGGTTTTCAGCGTTCTCACCTTTTCGGCCGCCGACGCTCTCAGACGGCCCAAGCAGCCACTAAGATCGCTCCAAGACGGCGTAAGAGGCCTCCAGTTAACTCCACCACGGCCCAAGAGGGCTCCAAGATGGCCCCAGAGGCCTCCAAGACGGACAGAGAGCGCCCCAGGACGGCCCCAAGAGGGGGCCCAGAAGGAGGAAGCCGAACGGGCATTTCGAGCCCTCGGCCCCAAGAGGCGTCCAGGCTGCCCCAAGCGGCCCCCAAGAGCCGCCCCCATGGAGGGTCCAAGAGGCCCCCCACAGGCGCAGAGAAAGCCCCACGTGGCATCCAAGGCGCCCTCACAAGGCCCCCAAGAGCTCCCAAAACTGCCACCCTGGATCCCCCTCCGAGAACCCTCCGAAGAGACACCGATACGCATCCATGAGGACTCTCACCCACAACAGCAGCAGCGACGACCAGCAGCGCCGCATGGCCCACGAACGCGCACGCAAACGCCGACGATGGCACAAACGCACAACGATGGCACAACACGGGAACGAGCGAAGCGATTGCATGAGAAGAGGCGCCATGAAGTCTGGGGAGACATCATGGCCCCCGCCATGACATCCCCCCCAATCATCACCCACCCTCTCTGCGGCCCCCGACCTCCCTCCGGTTCTGTTCCCGGCCGTGCATCAGTGCGGGACCATGTGCAGCTCCCCGGAAGGCCCTCGAAGGGCCGGATGAAGACGCCCCGTGGCCCCCATAGGACCCCCTGCCCCAGAAGATCCCCCAGCCTCCGTGACTCCTCTCCCCGATCCCTTCCGCTCCCCCCTGCCCGTACGTCTGGCCGCCCAGCTTCTTCGAAACCTGCCCCCCACTGGACCTCGTTTGGCTAGGGCTGGCTTTCTCATCCCAGGCCGTTCTGGCCCCGAGGGCTGCAGCCGGCCTCCAGATGCCCAGGGCGGCGAAAAGCCGACCCTCGGTGGAGCTCCCTATGGGGCCACGAAACGCTGCCCTGGGTGGGGGAACCGCATGCGGGCTGTGCCACTGGGACCCTCGGTGGAGCTCCCTATGGGGCTACCAAGCGCTGCCCTGGGTGGGGGAACCGCATGCGGGATGTGCCACAGGGACCTTCGGTGAAGCTCCCCATGGGGCCACGAAACGCTGCCCTGGGTGGGGGAACCGCATGCGGGCTGTGCCACTGGGACCTTCGGTGAAGCTCCCCATGGGGCCACGAAACGCTGCCCTGGGTGGGGGAACGCATGCGGGCTG